ATATATATATATATATATATATATATAATTTCCCCTGAGCCTACAGATGTGATGTGGTCCCACTCACAGATTTGGTGGCTGTCAAGCTTTTATGCTTTTAGCTCCAATTTAAGACATATGCTTTTGATTAAATTGTCATCCTGTACCTTTCTGGTCTGATTTTATTCCTAACTGGGGCATTATTTTCCCTCTTATCCAAAAGTATTATGAATGATTTTGAGATAGTCACGGCATCCTTAACATACAGTGAGAGCTGTGATGACATCACATGGGTCATTATATCAAACTGGACTGACTTTAATGCCCACTTGATTCACTAACAACTGCAATGATTCCCTTAAGGATCATGACCAAATAAGATCGTGAAAATCAGGCACAACTTCACTTAACTGCCATCTTGCTTAACAACAGAAATTCTGGTCCCAATTGTGATCATAAGTCAAAGACTACCTGCAAAGAAAAAGATGTTATGTTATAAATAAATAACGATAAATAGAAGTACTGTGTTTCCCCGAAAATATGACCTACCCCAGAAGTAAGTCCTAGCTTAATTTTTACAAGTGTGCCCAAGATAAGCTCTACCCCCAAAATAATCCCTAATTAAGACCCCACCCACTCCATGGGGTCTTAATTAAGCTAGGGTGGGGATGGGGGGTGCTGCCCTACTACTTACCTTCGGACAGTTGCATCCAGGCCTCACACACCCCAACGCCTGCCTTGCTGGCCCATTTCTTCTGCAGCTGACGAGGCTGGCAAGGCTTTCCTGAAGGCCTCTGCAGCCAATAACAGAGCTCCGGATCTATCTGTAGCTCTGTTATCAGTTGCAGGAGCCTTTAGGAAAGCCTTGCAGCCACAAAAGGAATTCCTGAAGGTCTCTGACAGCAAAAAAGAGGCCAGGGGCAACGCACGCAAGTGAGGTGAGTCAGTTGACACACACAAACACACACAGCCCGAAAATAAGACCTAGTGCCTTTTTGAGTGGCAAAAAATATAAGACAGGGTGTTGTTTTGGGAGAAACATGGGTAGAAAACTGAAAATTATTTTGTAGATGCCTCAGATTTCCTAAGGCTACATTCTGCATGTGGATTACCTGGCAGTAAACTCTACTAAACACAGACTCTGAATAAGCTGCATAGAACAGTACAATAAGTCAATCAGACACTGGTTTAAAAAAAACCTTGCTCTTTTGACCTCCTCACTTCTCAATTTTAAAGGTGAGGGAGCCACATACCATGTTCCCAGCAGTAAATGCCTGATTTAAGGGACCTTATGTGCTGATCAAAGGAGAACAGGCTACTGTATACAACTAGAATGATGCTTACTTTTGTGGCAGGAGAATTCTGGGTTTTGTAATGATGGAGGGCCTTGATATTTTTGTTTCATGGTATTCCTAGGAAGGAAAACAAGCTTCTCTTGCAGCAGATTTCTCCATCACTCAGTTTAAGCACCTGGGCCGATTACTGATGGTGCATGGAAGAAACAGCTACAAAAGATCTGCTGCTCTCAGCCAGTTTGTGATCCATAGAAGTTTGTGCATTAGTACCATGCAGGTCAGTGATGTTCCTGTACCTTGTTTAGTGCCCTTTGGTCATTTGACTCCAGACAGGATCAGGGTGTGAAAGCAGGGGTGGAAGCAGGGATTCAAATTTTTTAACAACCGGTTCTGTGGGCATGGCTTAGGTGGTGGGTGTGGCTTGCTGATCATGTGACTGGGTGGACATGGCTTGGTGGTCATGTTATTGGCTGGGTGTGGCCAACTCAATATCACTCACATCAAGGCACGCATCTCCTTACCTGGCCTCTCATGACTGTGGGGATGCTGCAACAGTCGTAAGTGTGAAAAATTGTCATAAGTCACTTTTTTCAGTGCCATTGAATGGTCACTCCACACAAGCAAAGTACTAGCAAAGGAGGGGGAAAAATCCAGAGATGTTCCTGAGACAGGAAGTCTAGTCCTGCCAAGAATGTAATAAGGGTTAACAGAGAGGCAGTTTCTGTAAGCAACACCAGAATGTTTCCTTCCTGCCTTCCTTACAGGATTAGGCCAGTAATTTCTTCTAACAACCGGTTCTCAGAACTGCTTAGAATGTTAACAACCGGTTCTAGTGAACAGGTGCGAACTGGTAGAATCCCACCCCTGTGTGAAAGTTTATTTTATTTTTTTAAAAGCCCACATAGGATTTTTACTTTGTTCTGTCCAAATGGCAGAGAAAATAGGAGAAATCAATTAAACAAGAATTGAGCATTGTTTCTGCTTGATCAGTAAGTTCCTACTTTCTCACCTTCAACTGATAGGGTTTCTCTTCTATGTGTGGAAGCAGATAGTAGTTTGTCAGTGAGTTACATTGATTTGGGATCATTTACCTTTTCATTTTATATCTTGCACATGTATGATCTCTACATCACTTATAATCCTTTTTTAATACAATAATTTTATTAAATTTTAAAGTAGAAAGATAAAACTAATAAGAACTAATAAGAAAAGATGAAAAAGAAGAAAAAGTAAAAATATAGGAAGAAGCAGAAATGCAAAAAAAAGAAAGAATAATTTTACAGCAGATATAAATAAAAAATAATTCAACTTTTGCTCTATGGTTAGAACCATAGAGCTCATTCATTTTTCAATAATCTATGAACATTAATAGTCCCCAAACCAATATATTATAATTTCATTTTTTTTTCTGTTTGTACAAAAAGTCCAAAAGGGGCTTCCAGTTAGCATAAAAGTTAGTCAATGTCTCTCCTCTAATGAGACCCTCAGTTTCAATATCTCAACCAACACCATCAGCTTTACCAACCATTCTTGCATTGTAAATGATATCAACTCTTCCCACTATTGGCCATATAAAAGTCTTACTGTCATTATCATATATAGTTTGGGTCCCCAACCTTTTTGGCACCAGGGGAATTGTCATGGAAGACAATTATTTCACAGACCGATTGTGTGTGTGTGTGTGTGTGTGTGTGTGTGCGTGCGTATTGTAAGAGGAGCATGCAACCTAGATCCTGTGCATGCCCAGTTTTGCTCACCCACCACTCACCTCCAGCTGTGCAACCGGGGATTGAGGACCTCTGAAATATAGGAACAAAATATCATGCAGTTTTTCCTAATTTTTATCCATCCGCCCTAGCAGAAATATCTCTGGTCTTGACTGTATATTGACCTTCAAAAATATTGAGTTATTGAGTAGCATCGTATATTTTGGAACCTATATTTAAAAAAAAACCTCTTTCATTAGGATTTAATTTGCCATGAACAGCCTTTTCTAAATTGCCAAATCTTTCTGGGTAGAGAAGCCACCTGTGGTTTCTCCTAAGTATTAATCTTCACTACTTGCCTTAGTTGACCAATGCGGGACCACCAACTCTTTCCATTAAGAGACAGCTGAAGAGATAGTTGTCATTGACTCTATTTTCTTTTTGCTTTGAAGCCTAATAATTCCTTGTATTTTATTCCATAGGCAGTTTTCTCTTCAGTGTTTTACTTTGCTTCTGTTCCGCTCTATCAAGGCTTTCTCATCATTGGGTAAGAGCCAATCCATTCCCTGTGGTATCTTTAAAATGTATAATGAGATTTGTTTGAAGCCTTCCTGAGTTTGGAAACGGTCACGGCAATGAGTGGCACAGGCTAAAATGTCGCACTCTTTCCTTCCTGCCTCTACTGCTCTTATCGGAATGAAGCAGGACACTTTGAAGATGCCCAGTTTCAAAGCAACTTTAATCCAGCAACCATTAAAAACACATGGATCCCATTTAGGACCAATTTTAGCTGTTAAAGCAACTTTTGTATCCCAGAAGCAATGTTATAACATGTTGGAGAGGAGGCGGGGAGGGAGGTGTCTTTTCTGAAAACAAAAAGCAGGGCGTTTTTTTTAAAGTAAACAAAATCCTGCAGCCATGTTTTTATAATATGACTCTTTTGCAGAAAGGAAATAAAATGAATGCCAGTGCCACATATCACCATTTTTTTGGGTGAAAGCCCAGCAGCTTAGGGAAGGTTGGAGGCTGAGTCCTGTTGCGTTTGGGATAAAATTAAGTTCTGGATCTTTGGACCATTTCACACATCATATAGCAGCATACTTTGAGGTTTGGTTCAAAATATAATCTGGCCAAGAAAATGCAAGCAGTTCCAACTCTTGATGTGTACATGTGCACTTTTTTGCATATCTGGTTACCACATTTATGCAGCACATAAAACTTATTACGTCTTTCTTTACAAATGTATATTTTAGAAGTCAAGCAGCTCTTAGACACTAACAATGAGGAAAAGTTAGTAGCTGAGTAGTAGAGTATCTAATTTGTACTCAGACAGTTCCAGGAATTGATCTTTTCCAATTCAAAGTATCCGGTAACACAAGCTGAGAAAGATAACCAGTCTGCAGAGTATCCTGACCTCGTTGAATTAAGACACTGATTGTATTCAATAGCTTCTTAGGACCTGCAGTCTTTCACCTCTTCAATTTTTTATATTCAGGGTTGTCCCAAAGGTGTTTTTTCAAGAGGCAACTGGACTTTCTTGTTTTTTCTTTGAAGATGTTTCGCTTCTCATCCAAGAAGCTTCTTCAGCTCTGATTGAATGGTGGGGAATGGAAAGATTTATATTCCTTGAAGGCAATTGGTCATTTGTATTCTTTTTTGGAAAGTCGTTGAGGCCACTTAATGCAAATAGGTGTGGAGCCCTTTCGGCAGATCCAAGAAGCTCCACAACCATTTGCACTACTCAGGTGATCCTGAGGACGCAGATAAACCCCCAAGGGGCCTCAATGACTCTGTAAAAGAATGCAAATGACCAGCTGTCTGCAAGGAATATAAATCCTTCCATTCCCCACCATCCAGTCAGAGCTGAAGAAGCTTCTTGATGAGAAGCAAAATATCTTCAAAGAAAAACCAGAAAGTCCAGTTGCCTCTTGAAAAAACACCTTTGGGACAACCATGACCTGGAGGACTGAGAATCTCCGTAGACAATATTCAGGGTTATTTTGCAGAATTAGTAGTGAAACACTCATGTACTTTTAACGTAGACACCCTAGAGTTAACCTGGGTTTCTGGTTGCCATAGAAATTCATCCGTATAGTTTTTGTAGTGACACCACATAAATGATTTCCCACTGACTTCTAAGATTTTCTTTACCTCCCTTCTAGCCTGCAGTCCTCAATTCCCTGGGAATCTCCCATTCACAAGCTAGTCAGGCCCAACCCTGCTAAGTTTCTGAACCCAGCAGCCACCTACTGAGACAACACAGCTTTAGCCATGCACTTTATATATAAACTATGAGCATCAACAATCCTAGTGCATTACTGTTGCCCAGTATTTTGAAATAGGAAACAGTAGTTTTAATACAAATCCAGAGGGAGGGAGAGAAGGAGTGAGTCAGTGAGTGAGAGAGCGGGGGAGGGAGGGAGGGAGGGAAGGGAAAGAAAGAAAGAAAGAAAGAAAGAAAGAAAGAAAGAAAGAAAGAGAGAGAGAAAGAGAGAAAGAAAGGAAGGAAGGAAAGAAATCTTCTAAAATAAACCCAAGTGGGAGAAAAAAATGGGTTCTACCTTTGTATATACCCCATTCTATCTTCCTCCTTTGCACCATTACTCCTTAGTCCTCTGCAAAAGTGTTGAATTCGGCCCCTTGCCAATGACAACCTCTGGCACAGATAAATTTTTAAGTTGAAATCATTGTCCTTGCTTTTTGTCTACATGTCCTACCTTTTTGTAAATGAAGAGAGCATTTGCCAAGAAAACTGAAATGGTAGATTGTAACCTTCAGCTGGTATTTCTTGTGTTCCTGCTTTTAGGTATTCTACCCTCTACACCATGTTTCCAGTTTTCTCTCTAGTGCTGGACAAAGATGTCAAAGCGGTAGTGGCCATGTTGTATCCAGAGCTCTACAAAGATCTCCTGAAGGTTCAAAGTTTCATTCATTCATATTCCTTTCAAATTTCTGCATGTGACTTTGAGGTTAACATATATGAGACGGATTTCATTTTCATCTTTCTGCCCTTTCATTTTTAGGGAAGGCCGTTATCTTATAAGACGTTTTTGATCTGGGTTTTAATAAGTATCTATCAAGGTAAGAGGTTTCCTTTATTCATCAGGGTCTTTCTGAAAATTTGAAATAAATTGTTCTCCAGATTTGGCTTGGTATAATTCTCTGTCAAAAAAGAAATTCAGCCATTTTTCTTTAGTTTCACTAGTTATAAAGAGAGCTGGCAAATTGTGGAGAGCTCTGAATTTGTTCTCATTGACCACTGTTTAGCTTCTGCCGAGTGATCATATTTCTTTAGACTTTGGCTGCAGTCTTGTTTTCCTTCTCAGCAGAAAGCCTGTAGAGTGGCTGATAAACTAGTGGCCTGGAAGTAAGCCAGAGGTATGCAGATCAAGAGCAGATTTATTTCTAGCATCAGTGTGAACACAGAGCAAGGATCAACAATTTCATAGGAAATTGGTCTATGTCATCTGAGGTCTACCATTGGCAGAACTATGATTCCCTTTTCTGCAGTGATGGAATTAGATGCAGCAGAGACGAACCCATCAAGCTGTCATCGATAGTAGGGTTCTTGATTCTGTTGCTACATTTCCATTTTGAAAGTGCTGGTATGTTAAAGTGGTTCTGGTGAAGACCATTGCAGTCTCTTCTCCCACATGCTCCACAGGCAAATCATTGTTACTTGTCGTAGGCTCTTCCAATCCGTAAGTCAAGTGCTGCATACCAAAACCGTTTTGTCCAGTTTACATGCTCCAGTCATATCAGTCTTCCTCCATTTTTCTACTAAGTACTGCAGCTTCACAGTGCTATAGTCCCTAGAGCTTTGCTACATGCTTACTATTTATATTAAGTCACATCTTGCAGCTGTACCTTCTGGGGATTTTCCTTTTATCAGTGGCATTTCCACTGATCACCAGAAGAAAAAGGAATGACATGGCCCAGAACCCAAGAAATAACTGAATTCAGTGAAGGAATTGAAATATTTTTGTCTTGAAATAAGTTTTCTGGCTACAAGATACTGTACTAATGACTTAGACTCAGGAAGTAAAGTACTTGTACTTTGAATGCAAAGCAAAAGAAGATTGTGACCCATTATCCACTCATTTTCAAATATATCTTCTCATTCACTAGGGCAACTACTTGTCTCATCTTTCATACTTTAGAGCAGTGGTCCCCAACCTTTTTTGTACCAGGGACCGGTTTCAAGCAGAAAATTTTTGCAAGGACCGGGGGGGGGGGGAGGGGGGGGGGGGGGGGCTTTTCCTGTCGCCGCAGCTATTCCGAAACGCTCGTTTCACCCCCACCCCCACCCCGCCCGCCCGCTTCAATCCACAGTGTCCCGTTCTGCCTGCCTGCCTGCCTGCCTTAGTTTCTGGTTGTTTGGGAGCAGCTTCGGCTGAGAATAATAACTATTCGCCTCTTTTACTCAGCCGAAGCTGTTCCGATTCAACCATTAACGAAGGCAGGCAGGCAGGCAGAACGGAGCACTGGGTTGAACCCCGCGCGCGCGCGCGCAGGCGGGCGGGCGAGCGAGCGGGCGGGCGGACGGGGTGGGGGTGGGGGAGAAACGGGCGCTTCGGCGACAGGAAAAGCCCCCCCCCCCCGCTTCTTTGAAGCAGTTTCTTCCTGTGCTGGTGGAGGAGCGAGAGAGCGACTGAGAGAGCTGACCCAGAGAGAAGGACAGGCTTCGGTTGCTTCCTCCCTCCCCTTCTTTCATTTGTGTCCTTGATCCCCGATCCCAGCAGCATTCACCGAAGGTGAAGAAAGCCGCCATTTTTTAAAAAAAAAAATTCTTTGCGGCCCGGTAGAGAGTGCTCCACGGCCCGGTACCGGTCCGCGGCCCGGTGGTTGGGGACCCCTGCTTTAGAGAAGCAAAATCAGGAAGATAAACATGTTGGGATGGTAATAGAGATGTTTGAGAGAATGTTCCAGCTGAAATTATTTTCAAGGGCTATATCAATGCTGGAAACAATATCAAAGCCTTCATCTAGAACACACAGCTTCTGGTCAGTCAGAAAAAATGAGACATCGTGGGAAAGATTTCTAAGCCAAGACTCTTCTCCTATTACGTTCTGTGGGTCGAATGACTTCACCCCCTTGATGGATCACACCATGCAATTTGGCTAGTAGCTTTTGCCCAAGAATGCCCCCAAACCAAGCTCTTCCCAGATGGTGGAAAGGTTATTCTCTGAATCTGTATTTTATGGCTTAATCTTGAGTCACTGGTCAAATTGCTTTTCAAATTAGGCTGTGGATTACTCATCAGCGTAGATTACTCATGCTGGGGTTCATGACTTTATGTTTGTGGCTGAATCTCTAGGATGTGAAGCCATTCTCTGATCAGCCAGAAGCAGAATGCAAAGTCACTCTTATCTTCCCATCCTATCTCCTTACATGCTCAGCTGCCTTCTCTCTCTCTCTCTCTCTCTCCCCCCTCCCTCTCCCTCTCCCTCCCTCCTTCTCTCCCTCTCTCCTTCTCTCTGTGTGTGTCAGTAAATATAAGTTCCTGCTGAATTTAATGGATCTAGTTGCTTATATATGCTTTGGATTATAGCTAAGAATCAATTCCAAGTCCCTCTGAGACTTAAGCTAGAAAGTTTCATCTATACTACAGATGTGCATAAAATTATGAATGATAACATATGAAGTTGGATAGGAAGGAATGTTTCCATTTCTTTCATGAGAAAAGGTGTAGAGCATAGGAAAGATGAACTGGATTGAGATATGCAGAAACCAACCTAGGCAAAAGGAACGGTAACATTTTTTTCTAAATCTAGAACAAGAGATTCAGAATTCAGAAGTGGCTCAGGCAGATGCCTCCCTCATTCAGTGAACTATAAGAAGAAGAAAGAGGCACAGCACAATTAGACTTGCAAGATTCTGTGATTTTAAAGCCAGTATCAATAAAAATGATATTAGCCATTTGAGGAAGTTGATTTTCTGGTCTTTTCTACATAATGCAGCTGACAGAATCATAGACTTGGAAAGAGGTTTTTAGGCCATAGAGCCTAATGCCCTTGCTTTGAAGCAGCACTCATTGAAGTAGGAGGGATTAGTGTTGGAAGAAAACAACAATCATACATACAAAAGCACTGATTCCTGAAACCATATTTTCCTTGGATTCAAATCCAGTAGTCTTTTTTCCATCCTTTCCTGTGATAAACTGGTTTCTTGTTTCTTACTCTTCCTTATGCTTGTTACCTGTTTCCATTTTTTTTCTTTAATAAAAGTTTTATTTAAGTTTTCACAAAACATACAAATACAAATACAATATCTTTTTTTGAGAACAGTGTGGCCCCGGGTTATCACTTCTCCATACAGACATAAACTCAATACATATTTATCTTATACATTCTAATCCATATCTTATAACTATTTTAGCAATTTTTTCAATAGCTTTCCCCTTTCTTTACTTCCTATAGCCTTATTTTAAATTATCTCATTCCTTTCTTAATTCAACTGCATATCTTTTTCTAATTTTTAAAATCTTTCTAATCAATGTTTTTATACTTTTGTCTGTCCTGTTTACAATTTCATATTATCTATTCTCATAAAACAAATTTTCCCCTGTAATTACTAGACTGTAGTGTAACACCTTTGTATCTTTTTTCAGATCTTGTTTAAAAAATTAAGTTATACCTTTACAGTTATAACATTCATTCTCTAACCTCTATTTTATAACACATACCTTTTTTCAATTTAATTCTGCTTGGTACATTCCCTTAAAAATACACACTAAATTCTTAAAAGAAAAAACTATATATGTAGATATATATATATATATATCTGTGTATATATGTATAACAATAATAAATGGAGTAATTATTCATTAATATTAATAACAATCTTTTACATTTCTATTTCTTTTAACAACTTTACCTAGTAATATCAGTTGTCTTCCACTTTAATCATATTTCTTATTTTACTTATTACTGTCTTTAAATAAAAAACCAAACAATAGTTATTAACAGTAGTCAATAAAGTTATTATTCTTATTCAAGTTCATCTTGTCAACTGATAAAAATATTCCATGTTTCTTTTCAGTTTTTTTAAACTTTCTTTTTAAATCATTGAGAGCCTTATTCTCTTTACAAACAAATATTCCACTACACATCAATAAAAAAAATTTCTATCACTTTAGTCATCTAACCTATTTTCTAACCCTTTTCTATTTCTAATATAACAATGCTATCCCATGCACCCTTGTAGAATCCTCTCAAGTTAAATTTTAACCATAATCTCTGTGTCTTTTAAATAGGTTTATACCTTTAATTCTTCTACGCTTTTCCTGTACCTCTATAACTTGTTTCTGTCCTTTGTAGCTTCTTTTCCTTTCCCTCTTCCCTCTCTTCTTATCCCTCCCCTTTTTATTCCCTTTTCTATCTGATTCTCCCTTCTGTGATCCTCCCTTCTGCTTCTTCCTGATATTATGATTACTTTTCAAATTACTCTTTTTTTTGGTTGTTGCTTCAGTGCTTAAGTTTTTAAATCCCTTTCCCCACTTTCCCTTTTTTACCCCGCTTAAAATTGCTTGGTCATTAAAGATGGCTTCTTCGTTGTCCCATCCTTCTTGTTCTGCCAGTGTTTCTTGTTGTTTTTCATAGTTCAAAATCTCAATTTCTAAAAATTGAAATACGAAGCCAAAAGATCCTCTTCCGTCTTGTGCTTCTTCTTTTTGTTCTTTAAGTCTCATTTTTAACTCTTCAAGGAGTGATGCCATTTTAAAAAATTTTAAACAACCCCCAATTGATTTTATTTTGTTTCATTAGGATCCTCCACCCAAAGTTCCAGGAATCATCCAATAAGCCAAAACTGTTTCTTGCTTCTTTTCTCACTTTCTCTTTCCAGGGGTTTTGTTATCTTGTAACAAAGTTTCAGCTTCAATGTATCTTTTGCAAGCCTTGTTAAAATTCCACTATCTTTTTTTTTTTTTAAGTTCCAGGTGGTCTCCTCCATTTCCCAGATTCCACCCTCTTTTTTCCTTTTTCCCTCCTCTGCTTTCTTTCTTTTTTTAAAGAAAATTTTTAAATTATCCAAGAATCTTTATCCCTTTGACACTTTATTTTCAGCTAGAAATAGCCTATTAATGTCAAAGTGAATTAGTATCAATTTCTTATTCAAATCTCTTCTTCTTAACGTTCCAAGTCAATTAAAACTGTCAATGTGAGAGGAAAAAAAGCCAATTCCGTTTCCTTTCCCTTTCTCTTTCGTCACTTAAAATCTTTTTTAGGAATAGTATTAGTCTTTAAAATTCAGGTTCCAGGTACCTTAAATAGATGTTCTCCATTCAACCCGATCAGTCAAACTTTCTCCTTTAAACTTCCTCCTGCACAATCTTGTCCAGTCGGGTTCTTCTTTGAGGTGGCCATTTCTGACCACCGCTGCAATCACCTTTGGGAAAGGGAGTAATGGCCAGCCGAGGAGGAGAGATGCGGCTCTCCTCAACACCACTGACGGCTTCCCCTTCTTCACCACCTCTATGGGGTGGCTTCAGCCCTGAATCCGGGTGGCTCGGGATGCTCCATCAGCGAGCATGGATCAAAACTACGCACGATTGCGATTTTGGTCCATCGCCGAAGAAGCCCAAATCGGAAGTCACATGTTTCCATTTTTATGTTCCTATACCAGCTACTAATAAAACCAGGCCCCCACCAATTCCAGCTCCCAATTCTATTTGGGATTTCAAATTAGAACATCCTTGATAAATGAATGTTTTGCCTCAGTTTTAGCACATCTAACGATGGAGAACCCACCAATTCTCTTGTGCAACTTGTTCCAATAAAACTTTTACAAGAGAATCAGAGTTTTCTAGCATTTCTTTGCCAAACAGGCCAGTAAACATGTTTTCAAGATAGGCTTCATTGTTTTGCTGGCTTATTTGCAAACGTAGAATGAATCATGAATAAACAGATTCACTAGATAAAAATAATATCTCTCCATACACACTAATCATTTCTCTTTAGGAAACTACTTTAGTAGTTAGGCATCCAGAATAGGCCAGGCTGGGAAAAAGCAAGGATTATTGGAACCCTATTTTATGGGGGTTGTGTATAATAACAGAACTGTGGAAGCCAGCTTCTCCTGAATTGATCAGTACTAAAGACATTTCCAGCAGCGAGATGCAGTTCTCCAAGTTTTAGATTAAAATTATCATTTGACCCTCCCCATCATGTGGGGGATCAGCTGGCTGGCAATTACAGATTTATTCCATCAGTAGGTGGGTTCACAGGAGGGAGGGCGTACATTCTAGAGGAGTAGCAGGCAACTCAGTCCAAAGATTGGTAAGAGAAAGAAGATAGCCCCTCCCTTATAGTTCACAGAGTAAATTGTAGATACAGATAGTAGACTGTTCAGTTTAGCAAGATGTTGTCTGTAGGTGTGAAATAATAAAGAACTCATTTGGAAGAATCACATGTCATTCTTGGTGTTGGGTCCAACAGGAAGGGTAACAAGTGTCATTGTACACACATTGAATGAGATGTATATAATTTTATACTCCATAACTATTCACTAGACACTTCTGCCAATGATGAACAAATTCTGAAAGCTTTTACAAATGAACTCCACTCTGTCTCTTGAGTCAGGGGTTGGTAGTCCTTCCCACCTCTTCAACAAATGCCTAGTCCAACAAATGCCCACAAAGATATTCCATTAATTTGGCAAAAATGTGGAGGTTGCCTGATGTCAGCTCTGGGTTATAGGATGGATAAGGTAAAATGATGTGATCCAATTTCACAACTGCTTCATTGGCAGCTCATGAAGTACAAGTCCTAGCATTACATTGTCACCAAAAAAATCCATGTTATGTGTCTGAACTGTGCAATTTTCAAAGCTTTGGATTATTTCAAAATAGTTCAGCTCAAGGATCATTTGGAAACATTACTTTCCATTCAACCATGCACATTATAGAAAGTCAACAACAAATGTCATTTTGGTTGATGCTATAACTCCTTTCATTTCCTCTCATTTCAGGCAGCATAATTATGTATGGTGCACTTCTGCTTTTTGAGTCTGAATTTGTCCACATTGTGGCAATTTCCTTCACATCCTTGATCCTCACTGAACTGCTGATGGTGGCACTGACCATCCAAACGTGGCATTGGCTCATGATAGTGGCAGAATTACTCAGTCTGTCATGCTACATTGCCTCACTGGTCTTCTTACATGAATTTATTGGTAACTATCTTTTGTCTTGTCTTCCTTCAAACTTCCTCAATTATTTGCAAAATGGAAGGATACCAACCTTGTGCTAAATAATGAAACTGTAAATTGATGATCATTTTATCTGTTACATTTTTATTGAAATTGTAAAGTGTAGGCAGTTAGGTATGAATTATTTTGCAAGGCACCCAAAGAACTGAAATGGTTTTTGATCAAGCTTTATATCAACACCAGGAATGATTATATCTCATGAGTGGAATGTCAAGATTAACAGAGGCAGATCTTGGTTTCAAACCAGTGTGTGTCTAGGCTACTTGCTTAGAAATTGGGGAGGGGGAGCATAAAAGCTGGATTGAGAAGCCTTCTGGAAAATAAAAGCTTCACAGCTGTGCTGAAATTACAGAGATGGGAAATCACTCAACTATCCCCCCCCCCCAGTTTCCTTAATTGATGCTCTTTCTATCAAGTAATATGTGTTTACTAGGGGCTTATTTTCCATCTGTTGTTAGTCGGGTCATGTAGTGAAAATGGAATAAATCAGGTAATTGAAGGGTTTGATAGGAGAGAAAGAATATTTAGAACACTACAGCTCCTTTGCAAAGCAGTCTTGAATTTACAGTGAGACAATATGACATCCTTGATTGACGGTTGGAATGGCCCCAAACCTGAAACTGTCAATGCTGAATTTTAAGTTAAAATTCCCAAATTTCTATTTGTACCCTCCACTTCTGTGCAAAACTTGACAAGCAGGTTTATTAAAAATATATTCCTTAGCCCAAAACATCCCACTGGATGCCAAGTTTCATGTGCAAGTTTGTACTTCAAAATATAACTCTCTTTTATTTTAAAAACTCGAGAGATTTATTTTACAGTTATAATTTAAAATCAGTTTCACCTATTCTACCTTTTAAAATGTCCAGAAATTATTTGCCAAGAGAATATTTTATGGAATAATGCTGTGCAAAAAAAGCTATGAGAAATGGTTAAGATTTTTGCAATCATCACATCTTCCCCTAGAATTGCCCCTTGGGGAGGGGGGAAGGAAAAGGGGGAAGGGCAGTGACTCAGCTGTTAAAGATGCTGAGCTTGTCAACAGGAAATCTGACAGCCCAGGTTCGAAACCCAAGTGCCATGTGACAGGATGAGCTCCCGTTACTTGCCCCATCTCCTGCCCTCCTAGCAGTTTGAAAGGAGGCAAATGTTAGTAGATACATAGGTACCACTTCAGTGGGAAGGTAACAGCATTCCATGTACCTCGGCGTATAGACATATTGGCCACATGACCACAGAAAAGTCTTCAGACAGTGCCGATTCCCTCAGCTAAGAAACAGAGATGAGCACCGGCCCTTACAGTTGGGCTGGACAGGGGAAACCTTTTACCTTTTAATGTAAAACAAAAAACAAAAAACCACCCACTGCCCCTAAAAGTTTGCTGGCAGAATTCTACTAACATTTACACAGGGCTATCAGAGCTGTGCTACAAAAATCCAGGAAGCCACTAAAATGCAACAAAAAGACCATGCTTTGTTTTGTTTATTTTACTTTAACTAACATTACTTTACTTTTTCTTTTCTGTTCTTTTTACCATCTAATCATAATCTGGATTTTTGTAGCTCAGAGCTGGTAGCCTTCACTGAGGATTAATACGAGGCCTGTTGGATCCATGTGAATTGCTATGCTTAATATTTTTTCCCTTTGTACTCAGCAGGCTGGAAATAGGAAAACAAATAGGCCCCAAAGGTAAAACTAAAACTCATTGCTATGGGATTGCCACGAACCAGCAGGAGTTTTGCTAAGCAACAAACTGGTATCATTAACAGTTTCCTGTTAACATTTCTGATTCAGAGTTCATGATTCTATTATAGTTGCTACTGAAATAGATGTACTGCAATTGGATTCTTAATCTGTGTTTTTATTAAATGCAAACAAAATTAGCCATGAAAACATGTCCTTTTTAGTTACAGGGACTGACAGAAAAATATCTTCTTTCTTGCAGATGTTTACTTCATAACAACTTTATCGTTCTTATGGAAGGTGACTGTGATCACCTTAGTCAGCTGTCTTCCTCTCTATGTCCTAAAATACCTGAGACGAAGGTTTTCTCCCCCAAGTTATTCAAAACTCACCTCATAGGAGCAAGGACTCGCTTATCTTCTTTGCACAGTGCTTACAGACTCAATAAATGTGTATTCACCATTGAATGATGTCCGACGGTTGGATAAGCAATCTGCACTGGTTGGAGAACACTGCTGGAAGACTGAATAATTCAGTTAAAACAAAATGCTCACAGTCAAACGAAGCAGAGAAAAGTTATATAAGCGATCCAGTTTTGTCACTTTATATTTATCAAAACTGAAAACAAATGCATGTAACTGGGAAGGAAAAAACTGTGCCTGGGAAGGGTCTGTTTACCTGGAAAGTGCTGAGTCAGCTGTTGAGATGACGAATTTTTTTCAAACGTATTTTCCTTTTTTTCTGGGGGTCGACTTATTTCATTTCCTCATTTTTATTGCTACTTATCTTTTGAGTTCAGGTCTTCATGGTGAACATTTTCATGGTGCCTTGGGAAATGCTTTCAACTGAGCAACGCAACAGTATAGTTAACAGGCCACTGTACATACCTCAAGCCGGGCTGACCTCTTTGATGTGGTCCAACGCAAATCAGAATTACTGATTTCTATTGGCTCTATTTTCTTGAATTTTCTGCAAAAAAAGGAATTCACAGATGAGTCTTTCCAGTTAAAACATGTTGCGATGGTTTTTTAAAGGGAATGTGTCTTTTTCCTAAAGAGAAAATTATTCAAAAGGGTTTTTTTGGAGTGTGGGTGGGAGAGAAGAAAATTGTAATCCCATATTCTGGTTCTGCAAGGACAAACTGCCCATTTATTAACACGGATTTCCAGGACAAGAAGAACAGTCAAAAGCTTAGGTTTCACCCTACAATTTACCACCCTTCCCCTCTGCAATCTCCAGCTCTCTTTTCTAAGATTTTCTGCAAAACAGCTAAAACAAGCTTGGCTGCCAGAACCAAAGAGAACAAAGGGAATGAGATAATTGACAGGTAAGAAAAAGGATCAGAAGTTAGGGATGGGCAAGACTTTGGGAGTTATTGAAGAACGTTTGTGCAAAGCGCAGCTCTGAACAACAGACCTTTAATCACATTGTCATTTTGGAAGAAGTTTTGTACAATGCCTGGATGCAGCAGCATTTTCTGGCCAATGGAACTTCCACATTTGGACTGATGCACAATACTTGAGGGAGGTGTTATCTGTATGGCTTGATCTGTTCTGTCCAGGTGTAAGTCCCCTTACCACTGCCTTTTTGGATATCCCCATTAAGAATAAATTCTTAATGCTAATTGTCCCATGCACATTCCCCAATTCACATGATGTTATTTTCTGCCAGAATGCAAGTTTCATTAGACTTTTCCCCAGGTATTTGGTGGTGGTTACAAATGTGCAGTTGTGTCCTCACTCTGAACAAGAAAAAGTGGTAAAAACACTCCCACCAACATTGACCAGGCAAGCCACTAGAATAAAAATGAGAGCAAACCCTACTCCTTACTAGCACTGATGATGTTTACGTAGTTTGGTAATGAAACGTCTGCAAAAAAAACAATCCAGCTCAGAAAGCACCAAGGACTCCTCATCTTCCTTTCCATTTTCTTCACTGTCCTGTAACAAGGGAAAAATTCTTGAACATTGTGGCACTCAAGAGTTTAGATTTAAGGTGGAAATGTGGTCTAGAATATTATACTCAGCTAAAATGTACTCAGTTGAGTTGAGCAAAACTCTGGTGCTTCAAATTGGACAGAGTATTTCAAGTGGAATACCAGGTAAAGTAGAATGGAAAAATTACTGTCATGACCTGGACTCTGAATACATGTTAATGCACCCCAAGATAAGATTTGCCTTTGTAGCAGCTGCATCACACAGTTGTCTCATGTTTAATTTCTGGTCAATAAGGACATACAGATCTTATCACATTCACTGCTGTCCAGCCAAGTCTTCCCCATCCAATACATGCACCTTTCACTTTATTTTTCCAAATGCAGAATTTAAATCTGTGTTAAATCGATCCTCTTCCGATCAACTCATTGCTTAAACCTGGTCAGCTATTTTGAAGCTTATTTTGTTCCTAAAGAGTATTAGCTGATAAAAATACTGAACAGCACAGGGCGTTGTGATAGCACACCATTTGAAACTTTCCTTCAAGCTGAAATGAGCCCATATTGAGCATGGTCATTGACCCAATTTTGAGTCCAATAGTAATATCATCTAACCCAGATGGCAGGCACAAAATAGGAATTAAGAATTTCTGCTTTCTCATCATTAACAATTTCTCACTTTCCTGCTATACTGTGTTCTTTTGCACTTCTGAATCTTCCCAGATAAATTAGAGTGTATTCCCAGATAAATTAGAGTTGAAATTCTGGGTACACTTGGGAGTAACTCTTTTTAAACTTGTGTGTAAACACACTGTATGCATTAGACTGGGCTGTAAAGGACACTTTCCTTTATACGACTGAAGGATCCAAGAGTAGAATGCTGTTATCCTAATGCTGTATAATGAAAAAGACTACAAATGGGTGGCTGATTGATACAAATGAGATAGCTTCTCTTTTATTTTTTCACCTGCTGGAGATGGGGATAGACATGGATATATGTAAGGAAAGGGTACAAAACTTGCATTTCTTTGACCTAGGGTAACCACTTCCTTACAGTAACTTTTACTTTTTATATAAAACTTTGGTGCTTGTCCAGAACAATTTCCCCCAATTAGCTACCTTTCATTTCTGTAGGAAATCTAATCAGCTTGGAATAGCGTGAGTTGAAGTTTGGCATCTCTAGAGACCACGGAATAGGGGAAAGTAATGAATTATGAGGTCAATTCTGAGTGGTATCAGCCATTATCCATTGGATGATTAGATAGCCCCACTGCACAAAGGGCCTCCAAGAATAGAAATAAAGTTAACAAAGAAGCAAGACTTCTACTATAACTGTTTAAACACTTGGACATTTTGATTAACAGCACACATTCTGTAACGGTTTTGATTTCACATTGGGAATAAAACTATGTGGCTGTTATGTTGATCCAGAATAATTGGTGATAAACCCATGGTGGAATGCATCAGGTTGAGTAAACTGTTCTCCCTTCAGACATGGTTGAACTATAGTTTTCAGTATCCCAGATGGCATGTATAGGTTGCCCTGGTGGTGCAGTGGTTAGAATGCAGTATTGCCCACAGTCTTGAATTCAATTCTGACGGGGCTCAAGGTTGACTCAGCCTTCCATCCTCTGAGGTCAGTAAAATGAGGATCCAGAATTTTGAGGGTGTCTCGAGTTGCCAGGAAGCAATACGTTCATTCTATAAACCACTTGAGACTGCTATAAAGGATCATGGAGTGGCATTTAAGTCTAAAAGCTACTTCTATTGCCAGGCATGATAATTTGTTCATGACTTGAGGATGTCCCACTCTCAACTTGCTGATGCTAACGCAATGCTTTCAGATCATGTTTTTTCAGGCTGGGCCTGGTTAGAAAACTTATGGATGACATGAAGACAGAAATGTTCTCTGGGCCCTTAAGGTGTGGAAGGCTTTTCATTTGTAGGTCATTCTTTCATTTGGTTCTTTGTGGGGACTACCTTTTTCCACTTGCCTTGTCCTCTTGACAAATGATGCCATCATCTCCAGTGCCAAATGTCCTTTGGACTCAGATACATAACCTCTGCCTTAGGGCCACACAATGCTTTATGCAATGTGTCAAGGGCCATGCTCCAAAATATGAAAATAAAATCCATTTGAACTCTTCCCCATTCCAAAAAGTAAATAAAATACCAAAAATCCTGGGTTGGGCTCTATGACCACAGATGGGAAATGCCACATCAGTCTCCCAGTCAATGATTTTTATACTTCTACTTTGCAATGTGCATATCATGCATGAGTAATACAGTAAGGAAATATCCCAGACGTAGATGCTTACACAGGTGGCCCTCATTTAGTGACCATTTGCAATTATGACAATGATGGAAAAGTAACTTTACAACCAATCCTGACATTCAAGATTTTCACAGGTCTGTAAAGTATAAGGAAAGCTGAAGTAAAATCATACACACAGTAGCAGTTACACTTAGCAACCGCTTCACTTAACTGAGTTGTTCCCATTTGTAGTTACTAAACAAGGACCACCTGTATATTAGATACTAAAGCCAATAATAACTAATGTAAATCCAAGGGGAGGAAATTGTCTGCCCAATAATTCCATTTCTGGGGCAGATTAGGAAGGGTATTAAATAAGCCTCCAAACACTATGTCAGATTAGAGTACAGCAAGAGTAATACATCCGGCATAGCTTAATTACGTACAGAAAACTAAAACTGAGGATTAGGGTTGGATTAAAACTCATGCCTCAGCATTTAAAATGGAACAGTCCAAGGGGGATTGCATTTTCCTTGGAACATTTAAACTTGTGTTTGAGAGTATTCCAAAACTTTATGTTAATTGTGATCAGATTGGTTGCCATCACATAATTAAATATGTATTTCTAAGCTTTTCAAATGTAGAGCAGAAAACCCTTCCCCTCTCTCCTGTGTTGGAGATATGAATCCCCATGTCAAATTATTTGTGATGCTAATGTTTTGTACTTGTCCTCTTGTCAATTGAGATGTGCATATTCTTGATCAAAGAGAAATATACATGCAAATTGAGTAATTGTCATGTGCAGTTCCATGTTGCAGATGTGTAAGAACTTTTAAAAAGGGAATGATTGAAAACAAGTTAACAATAAATTTTATGGAACTTCATATCTATTTCACAGTGTGACTTGTTGTCTTGGTAAAAACTTGAAACTTCTTTATCTCTGTTTCTTTTGCTGCATTCAGAAGTGATCATGAACTTAGCACAACCATCACACTGGTTGTCCCAAAGGTGCAAGAGGCAGTTGGATTTTATGGTTTTTCTTCAAAGTTTTCAGCTGAAGAAGCTTCTTGGATGAGAAGTGAAACTGTCTTCAAAGAAAAACCAGAAAGTCCAGTTGCATCTTTAAAAATCACCTTTGGTCATTTGTGACCTTTGGGACAACGTGACCTGGATGATTGAGAATCTCCATAGACATCACATTAGTTGATTATAGTCATGAAGAAGAATCTCCTTCTAAAAAGATTTACAACCAGTATTAGATAAGTGGACATGTGGGTGGATAAAATAACAATAGGCACATAATAGTAAGGCTGGAAGAGGCTCAAAGGTAAGCTTTAATCAGGCAGAAACAAGGGTAGTTAGGAGAAATTCACTTGGGGAAATGTGTCCCAAGAAAAGAGCTGAATGAAACTAGGCAATTGGACTGAAAACTAGCCAATTCTTCCACTGTGTAGTACTCTAGGCACCTGCCATGTTTAATCGGGAATTTTCAGCCTATTTTAAAATTTGTATGAAATCATTTTTAAAACTGAAATTATTTTACACAGCTGCTTTAGAAACATAATTTAAAAGAATTTAAAAATATCAACCTATATAGAAGGGGGGCGGGAATCTCCCATTCAATTGTATCCCATTCTCAAGACTGCCTGAACAAATCCCTGCAGTTTTGTTGGTAAGGTTTTTCAGAAATTGTTTGCCATTGCTTCCTTACTAGAATTGAGAGAAAGTGGCTGGCTTTGTGCCTTAAGTGGGATTAGAGCTCTCAATCTCCTGGTTCCTATCACGTTGCCTTAAGCACTACAGCAAACTGGCTCTCCCTAGGAAACTAACTCAGGTGTAGCTAATGGGCAGGTGTAGCTAATCAAGCCAATGACTGAATTTGGAAAAACTAAGCAAGATCAGATCTAGTTAATACCTGGACAACCAGGAACATCTTGTTGCCAACAAAACACAAAATCATCAGGAATCAAGTTTGATGTGAAAGAGACTTCACTTTAAAATGGCAAAGGAACAAATGATGCTTTCTTCATCAGTTTTTGACTACACCATCATCATGTACAATTATTTACTTCCTTTTGCATCACTTTAAATACCATTTTAAATATGATGATAAAATGAAGCCTTTGGAATAGGTTGATAATGCTATGTTAAAATGGCAATAGAGGTCACTTGCTCAAGACATGTGTCAAGTCTAATTCTTGAGAAAGAAGCCCAATGCTAAATGTTAAATCATAGGAAAGAGAGAATCTGCAGAATTTAATTAGAAATAGTGTACAGTGAGAAACCTTAGCTTGCACAGCACCTGTCTCCACATGAAAACAATCCCAACCCATTCTCAGCTGTATTCATGTTTATGCTGAGAGAGAGAGAGAGAGAGAGAGAGAGGATTACACACAATAGTGTGAGCCAGAATATTTTGTGTGAAATAAAATACAAACATTCTCATAATAGAGTCTGCGTTGAATCTATGTACAGACATACTTTTAAAACCAAGACATGTGAAACACCTTTTTTAAAAACAAATATTCTAAAACTAAAATTTTCAAGTCATGGTTTTCTGTTAAAAAGGAATGAAAACAGTTGTTCAGGATCAATCCTCTAGACAGCAGCAATTACAAAAGAAAAGAAAAAAACCAGTTGAATTGGAATTATGTTCCAAAGCCATCAATTCCAAAGCCACCAAACCCCAAAATTCCAAAGCCACCAAACCCCAAAAACTTTAACCTTAGACTGTCTACTATTGACCTCACCCCTTTCCTAAGAGGTCTGTAGGGGGCGTGCATAAGCGCACCAACGTGCCTACCGTCCCTGTCCTATTGTTTCTCTTATTCTTCTTTTATTTTTCTTATATGTACCCATTTCATGTATTCACAACTATGTATACACTTATACTTACTATCTTGTAAACAATTGGCAAATCAAATAAATAAATAAATTATCACTTCCATACCGGTATGGATTGGTCTTAATGCTAGCGGGTACGCTTGCTTCCTAAATTTCTCTAGAGTCCAAAGCTTACACAATTTGCCCACTAGGTGGAACCTGAACATTATGGGAATCTTCTCAAATGTATGTTTTCTAGAACCAGTTAGTCCCAGAGTACCTAACTGTCCTTCAGTCAAAATTATAAATGCAGCTATATTTTGTTCGAGGGCTGCTACAATGTTTTAGATCTAGCACAGATGTGTTTTTCCAAATTTAATATTTTTTTCCAGAATAGGCAGTCCTCAACCTAAAGCCATTTGCTTACTGACTGCTCAAAGTTACAGCAGCATTGAAAAAGTTACTTCCAACCAGTCTTCACCCTTAACAACCAATGAAGCATTCCCATGATCAAAATTTGGGTGTTTGGCAACCAGCTTATATTTGCACAGTTGCAGCATCCTAGCCAGCTTCCAAAACCAAAGTCAGTGGTGGGGAAAGCTGGATTTGCTTAACTATCATGTATTTCAGTTAAAACTGCAGTGATTCACTTAACAGTTATGCCAGACAAGGTCATAAAATTAGGCACAATTCACTTAACTGCCTTGCTTAGCAGTGGAATTTCTAGTCCTAATTGTGGCCACAAGTCACAATGGTTTACCTGTAGTGAAAAGGTTTCTGCTAGCAAAAATGAAACACTTCCATCAAACTGGAAAAACCTGTTTCCAAAGAACAGTGGGAATTCTGGGAGTTGAAGTTGTACACCACCTCTTAAAGTTGCTGAGGTCAAGATCTATACTAATATGTCTGGCATCATATTACATGTGAAAACTGTTGTGTTTTAGCTTGATATGTGAATGTAGCCCAGGGGTGGGTTTCTACCGGTTCTGTCCACCTCTGTAGAACCGGTAGCTCTGAAGAGCAGCAGACATAAAACCGACTCCATGTCTACTGATGTTTTTGGCCACCCGCCCACCCAGGCTCTTACCTGATCTTTATTTCCTGCGTTTTCAACTTCAGCTGCCGTGCGAGGCACAGCTGCAGTTAAAAAAGCAGGAAAAAAGGGCTTTTTCAAAGGCCGCTTCACTGCACACAGCACTGCTCAGCTGTCCAGGCACCAGGCTGATGACGATTTACAGGTGTGCGCAGTGTGCAGGGAAGCACATTGTAAATCACCGAACCTTATAAATCACTGAACCGGTAGTTAACCCTGTCGGATCCCACCCTTGATGTAGCCTCCTTCTCAATGTTATCTCCTTCACAAGGTGTAAGTAAAGATTTGAAGAAAGACATACACCCCACCAGGATCTATTTGAAGAAAAAATGAACTGTAAACGTGAGTAGCTTGGTATAGTTGTCAGAACTGGGTTGTAAAGAATTTGGGGGGGGAGGGGTCCACCGAAGCTTTGAAAGTGGTTACTAAGCAATTGTCTACCAAACTGGCTCTCAAAACCTAGGTATGTGGTGGGAAAAGGGTTCTAGACTTAGGATACCTGATAAAAATGTTTTAAAAGATGCAAGAGAATTCATAAGTCTCTGCAGTCATAAAAGGATTTTCACAAGTACTAAAACTTGGCAATCAGTGCAATAGATAAGCATTTATTTTGGTTTTGCTATTCTTTACAATACCAATAGCACATAGACTTATATACCGCTTTATAGTGCTTTACAGCCCCTCTCTAAGCGGTTTACAGAGTCAGCATATTGCCCCCAACAATTTGGGTCCTCATTTTACCCACCTCGGAAGGATGAGTCAATCTTGAGCCTGGTGGGATTTGAACTGCCAAAATTGTAAGCAGCTGGCTACAGCAGACATAGCTTGTAGTACTGCACTCTAACCACTGCACCACAGAGGCTCCTTAATAATGAACCTCATTCATTTAAGAGGTTAGTTATTAAAGTCATATTTGTTTTATTAGTCATCAATACAATTAGTTTTGTTATGTTACATTCAGGAGTGGTTCTTTTTTTTTTTCCTGAGGAAAAGAAGGATGCACTAGGTGTGGTAGACAAGGTTGATTAAATTGATTTCCCACAACATTCAGGACACCAAGGCCCTGTTTATTCAGACATTTTTGTTGCAGAATTGGAGAGAAATGGCGGCACTATCCCCTAAAACAGAGGTGTCAAACTCACGGCATCATGGCGTCATCACGTGACATATTAGGACTTTTCCCCCTTCACTGCAACAATGAGCAAGGAGGAAAAACCAGCAAGAAATGTCCATCTCCCATGCTACAGTCAGGGCTGCCAAGAGGATTATTAAGTGCTGGAACAAGACTATTATGGGCCCCTCACAAGAGGGCGTCCCCAGCCTGGAGCACCCACCTGAGGGCGGCAGCGCGGCAGCCTCCTCAGCTGGGATCTTCATGGAGTTGGTGGGGCCAGGGCTGGCCTGGGTGAGGCATCGCACACATGCGCATGGGGCAGGCTGGGAGCACCGCTCCTCTCTCCCACAGAGAGCGGCATGCCATAGAGGTGCCGAGGCAGATCGGTGTTCATGTGGGGCAGGAGCGCAGTTTCTCTCCCCTGGAGGGGCATGACATAAAAATGAAATTAAAATTCAATAAATTACATAAGTAACTGTTCACTGAGTTTCAGATTAATAAAGGTTATGTCAAACAAGGCTGCAAGACGGTTTTACTATACACACAAAGTATAGAGTATGAAATATATATCCAATATTGTTTTTTTTAAAATTTCCCCTTCATGGCTCCATGGGCCCCGGAAAAATGTACCGGCTACATTCCCCTCTCCTCAGGCCTGGCTACAATATTTGTTTCAGAACAAACGGGTCCAAATTTAGTTCCTTAGTTCAGTTTTGTTTGTTTGTTC